AAAGAACCGCCCCTTTTGCTGGGAAAAGGTCCACTCTGGGTAAAAATTGAACTAGGTATATTATGTTTTTATGGGAAAAGGTCCACTTTTTCAGAAAAAGGACCCCCCTTAGAAATTGCTGGCTACGGGCCTGCATAGAAATATTATATATTCTGTTTTGCCACAAAAACGGCAGTTATAGCTTTTATTCTGATATCTGAGCTTGTCTTTAGACCACTTGTCCTCCATTGATGGCTATACTCTGTTATAATCTCTTAAGAGATTATAACAAAAAAAAAAAAAAAACTTAAAAAAAAAAAAACAGGGACTAACTTTGAATGTAAAAATGGATTCATTAACCATTGGTAAATATGGGGAAATTGTTGTTTACTCCAGGAAAATTCTTTTTTTGGCAAAAACGAAGATTTATTATCCCTTTAACCGTGAGCCGTATTTCATCCCTCGCATCCCCTGCAAACATGGTATTATCATCAACGTTGTTAAAATTCATCATGTACACGAGCACTTATTTGAGAAGCCGACTCGGAGCGTTCCTGGATAGATTACTTTTTTACTATGACTATTAGTGTGATATTTTCAGAAACCGAAGGGGGGGTGAGGACCCCCCCTGACCCCCCTCTAAATTCGCCACTGGGTCACTTGCTCATATTTCTGTATTATTTGTCTTTTCCCTTTAATTTCTCTAGTCGACTTGTTCTCTTCATAGTTATAAACAAACAAATAAATAAATAAATAAATAAATAAATAAATAAATAAATATAAAACCCTGCAACTTGGCTACAGGAGCATAAGTATGCCAGGGCTACTTTAAACCTTCTACGGTTTTGACTGGTTTCAACAGACGTCAGAGAGGCCATCCACATCTGAAAGAATGCACCGTAAACCGAGGTATGAACAGAGCCTCCTCTCCCCTCCCCCTCCCCCCCCCGGGTACATGGCAACCTGCTGTCACGTGATGACAACATCCAGGCAGTACTTCTAACTCACAGTGACAGTTGACTGATTCCAGGGGGGGGGGGAGCAACAGCTGACACCCCAATTCTACTTTTTTCCTGTCCTAAAACTAGCTGATATACACGTAAGTTGTTCATAAACTGTGATAATAATATAAAATGTCATTCCTAGGAATTGTTTGCGTCCTGGCCACGTACAATGTAGAATATGAGTTGTTAGGTTGTAGAATGTGGGCGAGTACCAAGGTTTTAAGTCATTAATAATTAAACTGACAACCTTTACGTTGTTTGTCATATTTTATTTAAGTATACACCATACTTGAACAGTTATTGACAAAATGTTCACAGAAAAGTGATCGCCGTTTCACTACGGGCAGTCCTCCCTGCTGTCCACGCACTGACTGCTGGTCCTCGTGACCCTGACCTTGCCCCGTGGGCATGCGCAGCCGCGGACACACTCCTCCATACAGAAGGCTGCTTCCTCTTGACCACAAACCAGTGGACACGGTGTCCCACAGGACGTCCACTGCAAATCTCCCGAACACTGCTCCGATTGTCCTACTGGTTATAAATGAATTATAAAGGAAATTGTACAGCACTAACAATGACTTATCTGTGCATTGACTGGTACTGGTATCAGGCCTAACCAACTACCTGACTCGGCACCGAATGGTCATAAATTCACCGGGAGATCGGAGCACACCACCCGTTTTCAAGGTGTGCGTCAGTACGCGCTTCGAAGTATCAGACGTGACACCGCTCTTGCCTTGAACGCGCTGTGATAGTGATGATTTTCAGCGGGGTAGGGAAGTAATGCATCTCATCTCAAAATTTGTTCCGGGGTATGATACTGTGAAATGCGTACTGACGCACACCTTGAAAACGGGTAGTGTGGTCCCATCTACTGGTGAATTCGGGATCATTCGGTGCCGAGTCTGATAGTTGGGTAGGCCTGGCCATGGGTATACGTATTACTGAATATAAGAGAGACACACTTTCTAGAAGATAAAACCGAAATCTAACAAAACATTGGAAGACAAACGAGCCTTAAAGAGCTGTCGATGAACAAACATTATCTTAAAAATAATTTTGATCTTAATCCATATTAACGCTAGACTCGAAGGTCAATCCAAGGTCACTTACCCCCGCAGCGTATGGTGACTGCAAGTGAAACAAGGACGACAGCCACGTTCTTCATCCTGTTAGCTCTGAGCTGAAAATAAAGATAATTATTTACCTTTGCTAAGATATTTCTTGTTATATTCAGGAGTGAAGTAATTGTCTCTGTGCATAGTTGCTTTTTTATGCAAATGTTGGTTATTTTATCACAGAGCTATAACATTGTAAATCATTGGTAATAAATTCGATAAAGGAAACACCTGAAGTTGAAAAGATGTGACTACAAGTGTGCACAATCAATATGAGGCAGCATAGAGCGCATTCTGAACTGCAGACTAACAGATTCGCGGATCAAAAATAGTCGATCCACTTGAATGCTTGTTGCGTAATCCCCTCGGGGAATCTATTTGCTGTCTTATCGGGAATTAAGCGGCAAGCTTTTTAGTGGGTCGCCATATTTGATCCGCAGATCTGTTCGTCCGCTGTTCTGAAAGTGTTCATACTGCAGCATGCTGTCTGAGCATTGAAATGTAGATTTATTTAGGTCATATTTGTCACGCTTCATACACATAGCTGTGAGTATATGCTGGCTGGTAGCTAGTGGAATGAATCTTGTATCATAACGACAGAAAAGACAACGTGCCAAGGACATCCACGTGTTTAAAGTACCAGTGCTGCTGGTATTAAATGTTTCAGTTTTGGATGATATCCAAATGTTTTTACTCAAAGCTTAGTGGATTATCCGAAATAGTTGATAACATGATCTCTCTCTCTCTCTCTCTCTCTCTCTCTCTCTCTGTGTGTGTGTGTGTGTGTGTGTGTGCATGTGTGTGTGTACGTTGGTGTCAAGCAGTGCGCCTACGTACATGCTTAATACATACAGCGACTTAACACAAATATATGATTTCAATATTACTGTCACTCACCAAACAGACGGCGAAACCTGGTGATGGATTTCCACAACGGCCCTTGTCAGTCTAATATAAAAGGACCAGAAACAGTCATGAACTGATCAGCCAGGTGAGACCACTGTGTATACCTGAAGGAGGACAGGTAGGCCTATATGGCGCTGTATCACGTGACGAATTAAACGTAATCAATAGGAAAAGCATTTGCTTGCTTGCTTGCTCGAAAGCCTCACTATTTGCGTCCGTACACAAAAATTACGTTCGGGGAGTCTACCTCCTTACTTTCTGGAAGCTTTCGTAATCCAAAAGCAATATTTACGCTGAGGGAAATAAAACTATAGCCTTGAGATCGTCTCGTCTGGCGACTCTTTTTTCTTTGGAGGGATGACTATGGATCTATCGTCTGCATAATGGGGCAACTGCCTTATATGGGTCACGTGGTTTGTATAATGGCTGAATACTGAACATTGTGTTTTGTATGTATTTACGTTTACATGATGTAGTGCCGTCAGACTGATTACAACATGTTCATTGCACTTAACGTATTTAATACTAATGCAAAAAGCAGATGTCGCGAATATAAAATCTGGGGTATTATGTTGATGTTTCTTTAGGACTAAGATCTAATATACCATTTATTAGATCTTAGTTTAGGACAAACCACGCTCGGCTGTCACCTTGATTGGATAGTAAACGATTGTCGTAAAATCGCTAAATGATATTAAAACCGGGTGCATAAACTTGAAAACCACCTAGGACAACCTTGGACTGCCACATTAATCCAATACAATGCAAAAATAAACTATAACAAGTGGTTAAAGCCTTCAAACCGAATGTCGTAAAGTCCCCATATACCTGTACCTCCATAGAGACAATAAAATAGAGTAAGCTTGTGGAACAAGAATCCACAATTTTAAACAGAATAATCGAAATAAAATACTGCCGGGCATCGGAGCGGCCTTAAACGTGGCACGCTTACCGCAAATACTGCAGGCTACATCATCCCGTCGCTCGTTTGTAAATTCCGTGCATGGCATACGCACAATCAAACCGTACGTCCAAATTGCACCTCTGATGTTTGAGTCGGTCCTGTCTAATTAACCTACCATTACGAAAAAGAAGCCATGCCATTGGACAATGCGACCTCTGCGGTTACGTCACTTCCTGATTTGGATAGTGGAGAGGACCGACTCAAACATCAGAGGTGGAATTTGGATGTACGGTTTGATTGTGCGTATGCCATGCACGGAATTTACAAACGAGCGATGGGATGATGTAGCCTGCAGTATTTGCGGTAAGCGTGCCAAGTTTTAGGCTGCTCCGATGCCCGGCAGTAGGCCTATTGTTTACTATCCAATCAAGGTGACAGCCGAGCGTGGGACAAACGAAATGCCAATTAAAATAGCACAGTGCCTATCTCAGTTAGAATAGGATTAACAGACTAACGCCTCCTGTTTCCGCCGTACTCGTATAATCACCAGCTATTCTGTATTGTGTTCATGTAATGCCAGGAAGAGACGCGTTAATATTTTAATCTGATTGCATTCAGCCAGCGTCTCGGAGAAGTTGGATCGATCTATGTAGAATGACAATTTCATTGGGAGTGAGCACTAATACAAGACCACAGAGGGAGTGCGAACTGGCCGCCACAGCAGACGACAGCTGTACGTACAACGTCTGATCAGGGCCGTTTTTTTTAAACAACGTTTATTCAAAAGAATGAAGTGGAGGCAAGGCGCTGGAAGCATTATATGCTCTCCACAAAATTAAATAAGTAAATAAATAAAGCAAATGGGCCGGTTGAATGAAGATTTAGGCAAAACTTTCTACAAGATTTCAAAAAAGTAGAATGGGCTTCATTTTCATGAACATTATTCAATAGTAGACAAAGTGAAATTCATATGAATAGACATGACAATTATTTTTACAAACTTTTATTCCATTTATTCATAACCATCAACTTGAAATATAAATTTCTGTTGTACAAAATATATGACAAGTTAAAAAAGTAACGAAAACAATATACAGCAGATAAGTTAATAGATAACTCCTAAAACACAAATGCACACAAAAAACAAAAAGAAAACATGAAAAAATGTTCTGCAATAAATTATGAAGGGCAATAAATAAATTATGAAAAAAAGGAATATAGGAAGTAATGGACTGTACGTATACTTTGACAGATCTAAAGAGCAAATGTCAGTGGATAATTTCTGTCACCGCATACGGAACTCCGGTATTATCATTACCGACCCCAGATTAATGGCTGGACTTTGCGCTTAGTCGCAAAACTTGGCATGTTCTTGGTTGGTTCCCATTTTACTTTGTTTTTTAATTTAAACTTGGTAACTAAACTTTGAGCTATTATGGGTGATACTAATTTTGTTTTGTTTTTAGTTTTAAACTGGCTAACTAAGCTTGGAGCTAACTTGGGTATTGTCAGTTGTGTTTCGTTTTTAGATAAAAACTTGCCACTAGATGGCAGTTGCAGTCTGTCGGCTAAGGAACAACTGCCACGTGACATGAGATAGTTCGTCCTTGACCTTGGTATCCTGTCCCACTGACCGCCATACTCACACATGTTCCCGAGCCGCAACTCACCACGCACATATTTCCCTGAAAAATATGATAAATACTGAAATCCATATTGTTATGTAACACGGAGTTATGTCAAAACGTCACGTGTAATAATGGAAAACACGTTTAGTCTCCATAGAAAATGTTAATTCTTATCATCTTTATACTTCAGACAATTGAAAAGGTAAACTTCTTCACCACTAAAGATAAAATTTCTTAGCCAATTCATGTCAGAGGCAAGGACAATCAAACAGACATAATGCATGACATTTAGCAAAATGTCACAGTGACGATGCATTTTTTAACTTTATATAATCAAGTACTGACAGTCAATTTAAGCCAACACATAGACGTTAAAAATGCATAATGTTAAAGGTCCACATTTTCCTACCTTTTAGTAAATATTCTTCTCCAGTAATTAAATAAGTATCACAGTCGAAAGAGGATCTGTTTGCCGTCACGTAATTGTCACCTTTCTTAAGACTTCCAGACACATCCTAAAATTAATATCAATAAATGTTTATTTTTCGAACGAGTTATTATAGTTTATGTGGAAGAGGAGAGAGGGCAAAGAAAAAGAAAAATATTTCATGGGATATTCACCATTCCCAGTTTATCACTAATTAACACGAATACCTTATGCAAAACCGCAAAAATAATTTTCTACAGACCCATTTTTCGAGCTATTGAAGATATTTCTATATCTTATAGTTTACGAATAAAAGTAACCAGCCTCCACCTTATAACAAAGACTTACTTAAATTCCACGTTCCATATCAGAGCTGTAGCCTGAGAGAAATGCCAGGGGGCAGTAAGCGGACACGAGGGGGCGAAGCCCCCAAAGGGGCGAGGGTGTTGGAGGGGGAAAATTGACACGGTGTGGAAATTTTTTAAAAACNCTTTTTTTTTTTTTTTTTTTTTCCCCCCCCAGCCCCGGGGGGGGGGGGGGGGGCAAACTCCCCCCCCCCCCCTGCCCCCCCGGAGGCTACGGCCCTGCATATCTACAAAGTTTTATGCCAAATACTTACTTTGAATATATGTTGTATATGTACAGGGTATTTAGCGGAAGGTCGGTACGAAACCGAGGGTTGGATGACGTCACGGCTCTCAGCGGATTTCATCACATTTGCCTTGATCACTGAAATAACACAGATAAGTAAACATTATGATAGGGGGCTTCATAATGTCTTTATCTTTTAAAAGTAACTTTTAAGAACTGACCAATCAAACGTCATATAGCATATTTCAGACGGCTGCAGTCGAGCAGAGAAAATCTACCTTCATTTTCAACTTTCAGACACCGTTCCCCCCAAAAAGAAGTAAAAATAAAATGTATTTTCTGAAGACAACACTATTTGACAACGGAAAATAATTCAAATACTAGAGGTTGACTCGCCAAAAATTACAAGTGGCTTTGAACAAAAAATCAAGTCTATTGACGATAAAAAATATATTTATCGTTGTCGATGCATTACGGACTAGGGGCTAGGTTTAGACGGCCAAGTCAAAGTTTCCAATACCGAGTCAAGTTAACCGTACAACTGCGAGCTGAATTTTCAATTCGTGGCCTTTTTCATATTAATTGTATACTCACCAAAATGGCTGTCTCCAAGGCAGTCGAAAGACTCTCTTGTGTCTGGTCGTCTACAAACACATCCATGTATCAGCTTTTGGAACCTGGAAACATTTGATCCAAAGGTAAGAGACAGACAGGCAGACAGACAGACAGACAAACAAACAGACAGACGGACGGGCTGTCCTCACATCTTACTTATCAGTTTTCTATGTGGCGCAGGTTTGACATTTTAGATATTAAGACCAACTTGTACGATACAAAGTGAAATACTCTGTGTGAAATGGGCCAAAGATAGATAGATAGCTGTGCTACAATTGGATGAGATTAAAGGGTGTGACCGACTTCACAAATGGACTAAAATTGCAAACGGGTGATGGCGAAAACAGAATAAGTTGCCTTTCGAAGGACGTACGTACCTGATATCTCCCGACGTTTTCTTAGGAGCCATGTTGGATGATACCAGTTTTGATTCGTTTTTAGATTTAAACTCGCCAAGTAAACTTGGAACTTTCTTGGGTGGTTCCAAATTTCTTTCGTTTTTAGATTTCAACTCGCTTGCTGAACTTGGTGCTTTCTTGGGTGAGACCAATTTTGTTTCGTTTTTAGATTTCAACTCGCTTGCTGAACTTGAAACTTTCTTGGGTGAGTCCAATTTTGTTTCTTTTTTAGATTTAAACTGGCCACCAGATGGCAGCTGCAGTCTGTCGGCTAAGGAACAACTGCCACGTGACATGAGATAGTTCGTCCTTGACCTTGGTATCCTGTCCCACTGACCGCCATACTCACACATGTTCCCGAGCCGCAACTCACCACGCACATATTTCCCTGAAAAATAATAAATACTGAAATTGATATTGTTATATAACACAGAGTCAGTTATGTCGAAACATCAATTGCTGGAAAAGACGAGTAGTTTCCATAGAAAGAATTATTTCTTTTCGTCTTTAAATTTCGGACAATGGAAAAAAGTGAACATTTTCACCACTAAAGATAAAATTTCTTAGCCAATTCATGCCAAAGGCAAGGACAATCAAACAGACATAATGCATGACAAAATGTGCTCAGTAAATTTATAGATGTTTAAAATACGTATATGACTGGTTTTACACGTTCACACTTTCTTACCTTTAAGTAAATAATCTCTTCCTGTAATTAAATAAGTATCACAGACGAAAGAAGATCTGTTTGCCGTCACGTGATTGTCACCTGCCTCAAGACTTCCAGACACATCCTAAAATTAAGGGCAATAAAGTTTATTTTTCGCACCGGTTATTATAGTTAATGTGGAAATTACAAACAGCAGAGAAAAATTAAAATATTTTACTGGATATTCAACATTCTCAATTTATCACTAATTAACATGAATACCCTATCCCAAACCGTCAAAAATAACGATCAAGAGACCCGGTCACTTCTATATTTTACAGTTTGCAAGTTAAAAGTTACCAGCTTCCACATTATAACCAAGACATACTGGAACTACTTTAAGTACATGTTCAATTTACACCGCGTTTGATGACAAAAGACTTACTTTAAATATATGTTGTATATGTACAGGGTATATAGCGGCAGGTCGGTACGAAACCGAGGGCTGGATGACGTCACGGCTCTCAGCGGATTTCATCACCTTTGCCTTGATCACTGAAATAACACAAAGACGTAAACATTACGATAGGGGACAGTACAGCTCATCACGGTTGCCTTGAGCACTGAAATAGTACATGGAAGTAAACATTACGATAGGGGGCAGTACAGCTCATCACCTTTGCCTTGATCACTGAATTAGCACAGAGAAGTAAACATTACGACAGGGGGCCTAATCTTTTCAATATTTGTAAGAGTATCCAGGGGATAAAACTTCCAGATATTGTTTTTTTTTTTTTACAAACAAAGCCCTTTTCAGCTCCGTAGATTAATTTTTTCCTAAAGCGTTGTTAAACATACTAGACTAGCAAGAAATACATAAGTATTCGTGAAAACAAGAAAACCCTAGTGTCTTATGCATGGACGGCCAAGTCAAAGATTCTAATACCGATCGAATAAAATAAACAGTTCAATTGTCAACTGAATTTTCCGTTTTTGATCTTACAATATACTCACCAAAATGGTTGTCTCCAAGGCAGTCGAATGACTCTTTTGTGTCTGGTAGTCTACAAACACATCCATGTTTCAGCTTTTCGAACCTGGAAACAAGTGATCCTAAGGTAAGAGACAGTCAGATAGACAGGCAGATAGACAGACAAACAGACAGACAGACAGACAGATGGACTCTCTTCATTACCGGACATCACTTTTCTGTGTCACGCCGGCTGACATCTTGGCGGCCATTCAGAATAGAAGATCCGAGTATCAGCGTACGCTACGCGAAAGGAAGACCGCTTAATCCTGTAATGGTCTCTCCACCTCTCACACGCCTCCCCACGCGTCTGGTCGAATGGAGCCGAGAGTTAATAACTGTGCCTCAGCAGGGACGACGCGTGGGGAGGCGTGTGACAGGCAGAGAGCCCATTACAAGATTAAGCGGTCTTCTTTTCATGTAGGGTCCACCATATTTGAGCCTTGGACCAGTTAACACGCGGGCCTATTTTGAATGGCCCCGTAGATATTAAGACCAACTTTTACGATAAAAAAGTGAACTACTCTATGTGAAAAGGGCCACAATTAGTTGAGATTCAAGGTTGTGATCAACTTCACAAATCGACTAAAATTGGAAACCGGTCTTAGCAAACACTAATAGCTGAATAAGTTGCGATTCACAAAAGCTCAAAGGATATACGTACCCTTTCTCTCCTAACGTCTTATTAGGAGCCATCTTGGATGATGTCACTTTTGTTTTATTTTTAGATACAAATCCGCTAACTAAACTTGAAGCTTTCTTAGCTGGTTCCAATTTTCTTGCGTTTTTAGGTTTCAACTCGCTTGTTAAACTTGGAGCTTTCTTAAAAGATCCCAATTTTGTTTCTTTTTTAGAGTAAAACTCCCCACCAGATGGCAGCTGCAGTCTGTCGGCTATGGAACAAGTGCCCCGTGACATGAGGTAGTTCGTCCTTGACCTAGGTATCTTGTCCCACTGACCGCCATACTCACACATGTTCCCGAGCCGCAACTCACCTCGCACATATTTCCCTGAAAAATAATAAATATTTCAACCGATATTGTTATATAACTCAGCCTCACTTATGTCGAAAAAGCATGTGTAAATTAGTAAGAAATTGTAAATAAATTATCAAAAGACTAAAGAAAAATTAAGAAGTGAGATAAATAAAATTCCATTCAGCTTATAAAAAGAACAACGACTTTCTCTATATCTAAAATGATAAAATGAGCCAACATCAAGTAGAAGTGAAGCTGAGAAGGATGCAGCGTTGTTGGGTTCTTATATTATTAAGTGTTGATAGTCATTGTAAGCCCAAATATAGGTCTAAAATGCGTATGTGATTGATTTTAAAAGTTCACACTTTCTTACCTTTTAGTAAATATTCTTCTCCAGTAATTAAATAAGTATCACATACAAAAGAGGATCTGTTTGCCGTCACGTAATCGTCACCTTTCTCAAGACTTCCAGACACATCCTAAAATTATTCAACATTCCCATTTCATCACTAACTAACATGAATATCCAATCCCAAACCGTCAAAGAATAACGATGAAAAGACCCATTTCCGAGCTATTACGGTCACTTCTATATTTTAAGGTTATAAGTTTAATTTACAAACTCCCACCTTAAAACCAAGACTCACTTTAAGTACATCTTCATAGACTTACTTTAAATATATGTTGTATATGTACAACGTATATAGCGGCAGGTCGGTACGAAACCGAGGGCTGGATGACGTCACGGCTCTTAGCGGATTTCATCACCTTTGCCTTGATCACTGAAATAGCACAGAGAAGTAAACATTATGATAGGGGCATCATCATTTTTAAAGAATAACTCCTGTGTTGCTGGATCATGCGTTGTAAAGCATGTTTCAGGTGCATGGCTGCAGTCTTGCAGAGAAAATCTGCCCTCATCTTCAACTTTCAGCCACCGTTCACTCGAAACTTAACAGTGCAAATCAACATAATTCTATTTTCCGATACAAAAACATCCAACAAGGGGAAAATAACCAAAAACTATCGCAAAGAATGTTCCATGCTTGTTCGTTCTTATGTATGCTATGTTAACTGTAAGCTCACCAAAATGGTTGTCTCCAAGGCAGTCGAAAGATTCCCTTGTGTCTGGTCGTCTACAAACACATCCATGTTTCAGCTTCTCGAACCTGGAAATAAGTGATCCTAAGGTAAGAGACAGACAGACAGACAAACATACAGACAGACAGATGGACTCTCTTCATAAGCAGCATAGCGGCTTTCTGTGTCACGCCGGCTTTACATGTTATAGATATGAACACAAGTCAAACTTGAACGATGAAAAACTGAACTCCTGTACGTTAAATTGGCCAAAGATGGATAGAAAGCTGTGCTACAGTTGGATGAGATTCAAGGTTGTGACAGACTTCACAAATCGACTCAATTTCCAAACTGGCCATAGCAAATTTAAAAACTGAATAAGTTGCCTTTCACAAAAGCTCTAAAGATATACGTACCCTTTCTCTCCCAACGTCTCCTTATGAGCCTTCTTGGATGATACCAGTTTTGTTTCGTTTTTAGATTTCAACTTGCTTGCTAAACTAAGAACTTTCTTGTGTGGTTCCAATTTTGTTTCATTTTTAGATTTCAACTCGCTTGCTGAACTTGGGGCTTTCTTGGGTGAGTCCAATTTCACTTCGTTTTTAAGTTTCAACTCCTTTGCTGAACTTTGAGCGATCTTGGGTGATTCCAATTTTCTTTCGTTTTTAGATTTAAACTGGCTACCAGATGGCAGCTGCAGTCTGTCGGCTATGGAACAAGTGCCCCGTGACATGAGGTAGTTCGTCCTTGTCCTAGGTATCTTGTCCCACTGACCGCCATACTCACACATGTTCCCGAGCCGCAACTCACCACGCACATATTTCCCTGAAAAATAATAAATATTGAAACTGATATTGTTATATAACTCAGCCTCACTTATGTCGAAAAATCATGCGTAAATTAGAAGGTGTTTGTAAATAAATTATCAAAAAACTAAAGAAAAATTAAGAATTGAGATAAATAAACTTTCATTCATATTATAATAAACACAAAGACTTTATCTATATCTAAAATGATAAAACGAGTCAACATTAAGTAGAAGTGAAGTTGAGAAAGACGCAGGTTGTTTTCCTTATATTATTAAGTGTTGACAGCCATTGTAAGTCAAGATATAGATGTTAAAATCCGTATATGATTGAATTTAAAGGCTCACACTTTCTTACCTTTCAGTAAATATTCTTCTCCCGTAATCAAATAAGTATCACAGACGAAAGAGGATCTGTTTGCCATCACGTAATTGTCACCTGTCTCAAGACTTCCTGACACATCCTAAAATTATTCAACATTCCCATTTTATCCCTAAATAACATGAATATCCAAATCCAAAACCGCCAAAAATAACGATCAAGAGACCCATTTTCGAGCTATTACGGTCATTTTTATATTTTACGGTTTACAACTTTAATTTACAAACTCCCACCTTAAAACCAAGACTTACTTTAAGAACATGTTCATAGACTTACTTTAAATATATGTTCTATATGCACAGGGTATTTAGCGGCAGGTCGGTACGAAACCGAGGGCTGGATGACGTCACGGCTCTCAGCGGATTTCATCACCTTTGCCTTGATCACTGAAACAGCACAGAGAAGTAAACATTTCGACAGGGGGCATCATCATTTTTTAAAAAGAATAACTCCCGTGTTGCCAAATCATGCGTCGTAAGGATAGATTTTAGGTGGCTGCAGTCTTGCAAAGAAAATCTGCTTTCATCTTCAACTTTCAGCCACCGTTCACTCGAAACTTAATAGTGCAAATCAACATAATTCTATTTTCCGATACAAAAACATCCTACAAGGGGAAAATAACCAAAAACTATCGCAAAGAATTTTCCATGCTTGTTCGTTCTTATGTATGCTATATTAACTGTAAGCTCACCAAAGTGGTTGTCTCCAAGGCAGTCGAAAGATTCTCTTGTGTCTGGTCGTCTACAAACACATCCATGTTTTAGCTTCTCGAACCTAGAAACAAGTGATCCTAAATCAAGAGACAGTCAGATAGACAGATAGATAGACAGATGGACTCTCTTCATAAGCAGCATAGCGGCTTTCTGTGTCACGCCGGCTTTACATGTTATAGATATGAACACCAGTCAAACTTGAACGATGAAAAACTGAACTCTTGTATGTTAAATTGGCCAAAGATGGATAGAAAGCTGTGCTACAGTTGGATGAGATTCAAGGTTGTGCCAGACTTCACAAATCGACTCAATTTGCAAACTGGTCATAGCAAATTTAAAAACTGATTAAGTTGCCTTTCACAAAAGCTCTAAGGATTACGTACCCTTTCTCTCCCAACGTCTCCTTATGAGCCTTCTTGGATGATACCAGTTTTGTTTCGTTTTTAGATTTCAACTCGCTTGCTAAACTTGGAGCTTTCTTGGGTGGTTCCAATTTTGTTTCATTTTTAGATTTCAACTCGCTTGCTGAACTTGGGGCTTTCTTGGGTGAGTCCAATTTCACTTCGTTTTTAAGTTTCAACTCCTTTGCTGAACTTTGAGCGATCTTGGGTGATTCCGATTTTCTTTCGTTTTTAGATTTAAACTGGCCACCAGATGGCAGCTGCAGTTTGTCGGCTAAGGAACAACTGCCCCGTGACATGAGATAGTTCGTCCTTGACCTTGGTATCTTGTCCCACTGACCACCATACTCACACATGTTCCCGAGCCGCAACTCACCATGCACATATTTCCCTGAAAAATAATAAATATTGCAACCGATATTGTTATATAACTCAGCCTCACTTATGTCGAAAAATCATGCGTTAATTAGAAAGTGTTTGTAAATGAATTATCAAAAAACTAAAGAAAAATTAAGAATTGAGATAAATAAACTTTCATTCATATTATAATAAACAGAAAGACTTTATCTATATCTAAAATGATAAAACGAGTCAACATTTAGTAGAAGTGAAGCTGAGAAGGACGCATGTTGTTTTCCTTATATTATTAAGTGTTGACAGCCATTGTAAGTCAAGATATAGACGTTAAAATCCGTATATGATTGAATTTGAAGGCTCACACTTTCTTACCTTTTAGTAAATATTCTTCTCCAGTAATCAAATAAGAATCGCACACGAAAGAGGATCTGTTTGCCATCACGTAATTGTCACCTGTCTTAAGACTTCCAGACACATCCTGAAATTATTCAATGTTCCCATTTTATCCCTAACTAACATGAATATCCAATCCAAAACCGCAAAAAATGACGATGAAGAGACCCATTTTCGAACTATTACGGTCACTTCTTTATTTTACGGTTTACAATTTTAATTTACAAACTACCACCTTAAAACCAAGACTTACTTTAAGTACATGTTCATAGACTTTCTTTCAATATATGTTCCATATTATGTATGGTATTTTATGCCAAAGACTTACTTTAAATATATGTTGTATATGTACAGCGTATTTAGCGGCAGGTCGGTACGAAACCGAGGGCTGGATGACGTCACGGCTCTCAGCGGATTTCATCACCTTTGCCTTGATCACTGAAATAGCACAAAGAAGTAAACATTACGATAGGGGCATCATAATTTTTTAAAGAATAACTCCCGTGTTGCCCAATCATGCGTTGTATAGCATGTTTCAGGTGGCTGCAGTCTTGCAGAAAAAAAAAATCTGCCTTCATCTTCAACTTTCGGCCACCATTCACTCAAAAATTAATAGTGCAATTAAACATAGATTTATTCTCCGATACAAAAACATCCAACAAGGAGAAAGTAATCAAAAACTACCACAAAGAATGTTCCATGCTTGTTCGTTCTTATGTATGCTTTGTTAACTGTAAGCTCACCAAAGTGATTGTGTCCAAGGCAGTCGAAAGACTCTCTTGTGTCTGGTCGTCTACAAACACATCCATGTTTTAGCTTCTCGAACCTAGAAACAAGTGATCCTAAGGTAAGAGACAGTCAGACAGACAGACAGACAGACAGATGGACTCTCTTCATAAGCAGCATAGCAGTTTTCTGTGTCACGCTGGCTTTACATGTTATAGATATGAATACCATTCAAACTTGAACTCTTGTATGTTAAATTGGCCAAAGATGGATAGAAAGCTGTGCTACAGTTGGATGAGATTCAAGGTTGTGACAGACTACACGAATCGACTAAATTTGCAAACTGGCCCTAGCGAAAACTGAATAAGTTGCCTTTCATAAAAGCTCGAAGGATGTACGTACCTGACATCTCCCAACGTCTTCTTAGGGGTCATCTTGGGTGGTTCCAATTTTGTTCCGTTTTTAAGTTTCAACTCCTTTGTTAAACTTGGAGCGATCTCGGATGATACCAGTTTTGTTTCGTTTTTAGATTTCAACTCGCTTACTAAACTGGGATATTTATCGCGTGGTTCCAATTTTCTTTCGTTTTTAAATTTCATCTTGCTAAGTGAACTTGGAGCTTTCTTGGGTGTTACCAGTTTTGTTTCGTGTTTAGCTTTCAACTTGCTTGCTGAACTTGGTACTTCCTGGGGTAATTCCAATTTTGTTTCGTTTTTAGATTTAAACTGGCCACCAGATGGCAGCTGCAGTCTGTCGGCTAAGGAACAAGTGCCCCGTGACATGAGATAGATCGTCCTTGACCTTGGTATCTTGTCCCACTGACCGCCATACTCACACATGTTCCCGAGCCGCAACTCACCACCCACATATTTCCCTGAAAAATAATAAATACTGAAATCGATGTTGTTATATAACTCAGCCTTACTTATGTCGAAAAATCATGTGTAAATTAGTAAGAGTTTGTAAATAAATTATCAAAAAAATAAAGAAAAATTACGAAGTGAGATAAATAAACTTCCATTCATCTTATAATAAGAACAAAGACTTTATCTATATCTAAAATGATAAAACGAGTCAACATTAAGTAGATGTAAAGCTGAGAAGGACGCAGCGTTGTTGGGTCCTTATATTATTAAGTGTTGACAGTCATTGTAAGCCCAAATATAGGTCTAAAATGAGAATTTGATAGATTTAAAAGGCTCGCCCGTTCTTACCTTTTAGTAAATATTCTTCTCTAGTAATTAAATAAGTATCACAGACGAAAGAGGATCTGTTTGCCGTCACGTAATTATCACCTTTCTCTAGACTTCCAGACACATCCTAAAATTATTCAACATTCCCATTTCATTACTAACTAACATGAATAACCTATCCAAAACTGCAATTAAATAAATAATCCATTTTCGAGGTATGTCGGTCACTTTTACATTTTACGGTTTGCAAGTTAAAGTTACTAGCTTCTACCTTTAAGACGAAGATTTACTTTACTTTACACTGCGTTTGATGACAAAAGTCTTACTTTGAATATATGTTGTATATGTACAGGGTATTTAGCGGCCGGTCGGTACGAAACCGAGGGCTGGATGACGTCACGGCTCTCAGCGGATTTCATCACCTTTGCCTTGATCACTGAAATAGCACAGAGAAGTAAACATCATGAGAGGGGGCAACACCATTTCCATATCTTTTAAGAATAAGATTTGCCCAATAATACGCCGTATGACAGATTTTAGACGGCTGCAGTCATGTAGAGAAAATCTGCCTTCATCTTCAACTTTCAGTCTACCGTTTACTCGAAAATTAATAGTGCATATCAAATTAATTTCATTTTTCCGAATACAAAGGTATCTGACAAGGAAACATACTACGGCAAACAATTTTCCATTCTTGTCCTTACTTATATAAACTGTAAGCTCACCAAAATGGTTGTTTCCAAGGCAGTCGAATGATTTTCTTGTGTCAGGTCGTCTACAAACACATCCATGTTTCAGCTTCTCGAACCTAGAAGCAAGTGATCGTAAGGTAAGAGGCAGACAGACAGACAGACAGGCACATAGACAGACAGACAGGCATGTAGACAGACAGACAGACGAACAGACAGACTGACGGGCTTTCTTCATATTGAGCATAGCATTTTTCTGTGTGGCGCCGGCTTGACATCTTAAATATTAAGACCAGGAGGTTGTGATCAACTTAACAAATCGACTAAACCGGTCCTAGCAAAAACTAAATAAGTTGTCTTTCACAAAAGATCGGATCGAAGGCTGTACGTACCTGATATATCCCAACGTCTTCTTTGGAACAATCTCGGATGATACCAGTTTTGTTACGTTTTTAGATTTAAATTCGCTCAGTAAACTTGGAGCTTTCTTGGGTGGTTCCAATTTTCTTTCGTTTTTAGATTTCAACTCGCTTGCTAAACTAGGGGATTTCTTGGATGAGTCCAATTTTAGTTCATTTTTAGGTTTCATCTTGTTTGCTGAATTTGGTACTTTCTTGTGTGAATCCAATTTTGTTTCGTTTTTAGATTTAAGCTCGCCACCAGGTGGCAGCTGCAGTCTGTCGGCTAAAGAACAAGTGCCCCGTGACATGAGATAGTTCGTCCTTGACCTTGGTATACTGTCCCACTGACCGCCATACTCACACATGTTCCCGAGCCGCAACTCACCACGTACATATTTCCCTGAAAAATAATAAATATTGAAGCTGATATCGTTACATAACACACAGTCAGTTATGTCGAAATGTCATGTGTGATAGGTGGAAAACACGTTTAGTCTCTATAGAAAAGATTAATTTTTTATCATCTTCACACATTCGACAATGTCATAAAGTCTGTGGACAAAGCTTGGACTACTTAAAGAGCAAAACCAACGCATATCTTCAGGACCATTTACCTCAGAGGGTGTCACAAACAGGGGGCGGATCCTGGTTTATTTGAAGTGGGGGTCCGTTGATGCGAAGCCGGACCACCCACCCCCTGACCCCCTCTAAATCCGCCACTGACGAACTGTTGAACTAAATACGTCTGTTTTCATCGGCAATGAAGGTATATAGACAGGATATATAAATATTGCTCTTCACAAAAAGAAATTTGGTGGTTTACCACTAAAGGTTAACCACAACCCGCAGTTACATCAGCCAAAGTTCAAGAATCCTTCCCTAATAACCGTCTGTTGTGTCTTGCACAGATAAAACGAAACTAATCAAATAGAAAAGCGATGATATATGCCGCAAATGACCCAAACCAAGTTATTTTTAAAACTTGACATTCTCAATTTAAACGTGGAAATTCTAGCTACATCACTTAAAGTTAAAAATATTTTCTATTAACAATATGTCAGTGTATCAGTGTGGTAAGTGTTGTTTATACACCCTGTAAGTACACATATATATTGTCTTCTTATAAAACTTTCTAATACTCATTTCTGTTTGTAGCTGGTATTCGTAAGCAGTTTCTGTTGCTAATGTAAAGTGTTTTTTTTTTATGAGTGCCGTAAAACACAACTTAGATTTCCTAGCAGTAAATGATATTTTTCTGTAGACTAAACACCAAGGTATCACATAAACCGTGGGACATATGATCTTTTATTCGGGTTTTGATGATAAAGGGGAAGGTGATGCAATTTCAGGCAATTATTTTCGGTAAGACGTACACTGTAGCAAGCGATGGCTGACTTAAATATGAAACAAGTCCGAGGGCGATATGCAAAATTGTCTAATTAAACTAAGGCTAGTCCTACACATCGTAACAAATTCAAAAATCGACGATTTGCTATCGTCACTGTATCATTTTTCATATTCGAAGAGAGTTTCAAGTTTAACGGCGAACTGGTGCACTTGGAGAACAAAGTCCATTCACCCAAACGCGAGATCAATATCAGCCCTGATGAAGAAGTATAGTGTTTTCAGGTGTTGAAATTGTTAGTATATCGTCGTGAAGATCAGACCTCGTGCAATACGACCCAGGATCTGGGCTCTAGGTGTGAGAGGAGGGCTCACTCTGTCCCCGCTTTAAAGGGTTATAGACACATTCTGCACCTCTCCCTTTCATTTATTTATTTGTTTGTTTGTTTAATGTTTAATATTCCTTATTATATATTTATATCCATAGGTAAAATTATTCTAGTACATACTGGTTCGTAAGAAAAATTCCTCTTCTTTTATTTTAGTTGTTGTTTATTCAAATATTTATCTTTCTGTTTCTTTTTTTTTTTTTTTTTGTTTTCTTTCCTTTTTTAAAACTTCAGTAATTTTTTTGTTCGGTACTTTTCTTCTGCACCCTCTATCCGGCTATAAATGTGACATGTTAATCTCAGATTTTGTCTGACGGATTGGTCCCGCCACGGAAGAACAGAGAGTGGTATTCATTTGTAATTCATTGGCTCAGCACTTGGCGTGATGGAAGAGTGATCAGATCGAATTTTTTGAGAGATAACTTTGTTGTTTGTGTGACCTGAAGAAATGCATGTTCAGAATACTGCACCGCGTGACACTGGTCAGTTGGAATGTTTGTGTCCAGTTTACCAATGGACCTCTGTGTAACCGCGAAGCGACGTTTTGAAAGAACACCTCTTTCTTCCCCCTCCCCCCTCTCTCTCCTTCCCTCTCTCTCTCTCTCTCTCTCTCCTCCCTTTCTCTCTCTCTCCCTCTCTCTCCTTTCTCTCTCTCTCTCCTCCCTTTCTCTCTCTCTCCCTCTCGCTCTCCCTCACTCTCTCTCTCTCTCTTATTCTCCCTCTCCCCCCTTTCTCTCCCTCCCTCTCTCTC